TCAGTGCTCTGGACTCACCCTCCCTCTTACTTCACGGGCTTTTGGAAGTCTTTCCGTTCCAGTCGTCCCTAGAGCAGGGCTTCCCACCAGGTGCAGACCTGAGGAGAGTGACTGACTCCTCTCCCTGCACCTCTCCCTTTGAGGGGTAAGTGAGAGCCCCAGGAAATCAGCCCCCTGGGCCGTGTGCATGGGTCAGCAAGCAGCCTTTCTGTTCACCTCATTGTGTCTTACAAATATCACTTCTTTTCTTCTGCTATGATGCGGAAAGAAGTCAGAAGTCATGCATCCATGTGACTCATTGGGTGGATATCTCAGGGCCAACTCTTTGGTTCCTTTCTTCTTCCATGTTAACATCAGTGCTATTACTCCAGAAGGAGAGAAGTAAGTACATACACTTATTTGTAAATGCTGTATATGTAAACTTATTTCTATATATACTGTGTATGTGTACCTATTTCTATAGATTATGTATACCATTTATATACTTATATATAAGCATATATGATTATTTCTAGATACTAGATCATAATATATCTTTCTATATACTATATATATATATATATATACACACACTACATACATAGATATATATATGTTATTGACTTATTTTTCTCTTTCTGGAGTGATAAAGCTGTTGTCAACATGGCAGAAGGAAGGAGCCAGAGAATGATATGTATGTGTGAATATACATACATATTCAGACCACAAACTCTGCAGTATCTTTAAAGCTAACATTCTATCACCCAGATGCTTATATAGTTTATCAATTAAATAAACCCAGTTATTTTTAAGAATGAATCGGGGCACTACTAATAATTATCTTTGGAAAATAGGCATTGACCAGAACTCGCTTGGGCAAACCAGGATATAATGATTGCACCTTGTCACTATATTAATATGTATTTAAAAATATTTGTTCAATAGATATCTACATTATTAAAAAAAATCATGAATGGATATGCAGAGGAGTATTTCTCTGACCCATGTCCATTTGCCCCTTTTTATCCCTTGCCAGCCCTCATCCCCACAGTAGGAAACAACTACCCTGCAGTGTTTTCTTCATGCAAAAACAAGTAAATATGAATATTCTCATATGTGCTCTGGAGATCATTCCATATCGCTATAGAAATGGCCTTTTGGTAAATGGATCCGTGGTGTTCCATTGTGTGTTTAATTTAACCGGTCCCTTACTGGAAGGTTCACGGGCTGCTTCCAGCCTTGCTGCTACAAACAGAATTACAACAAATAACTTCGTGTACACAACATTTCGTATATGCGTGCATACATATCTGCAAGACAGATTCCTGCAAGCGGGTTTGCTGTGCATGAGTGAACCTGTAGTGAGCCTAAGTGTTGCTAGATTTTCCTCCAAATGTATCATGCTATTCTGTATTCCTATGAGCAATGCACGAGCAGGCTTGCCAACAAAGGGTGTGTTTAAACTTCTGGATCTTTGTCAATCTGAAGGTGAGGAAAGTACCTCAATGTATTTAAATTTGTATGAATCTTACTATGAGTCGTGTTGAATATCTCTTCATACGTTTAAGAGCCCCTGTTGTTTTATAAATGCCTATTTTGGGGTCTGTCTTCCTCACTCCAAATTAAGTCTCTCGAGGAAAGGGATTATATTTTATATATCTCATATTTTCCTTAATAGTGTGGAAAATGAAAAAAAAAATTAACAAATATATTTAATTAATGAAGAACAGAATCATTGCGATTTTCCCTCTCCTCATACTATTTAAGCTGCTTTTGATAACACCTTTTCTAACCTTTGGATCACTTTTTTTTTCTTGAAGAATAATATTATATATAAATATGTCCATAATACAGAATATGTAGATGAATAAAAATAAAAGCTCACTTATACAATTGTTTTAAACAATTACTCATCTCTTATTTCTAACCACTTCCTGTACATAGGCTTTTTTTTTTCAAGTATTAACAATCATATTGTCAAATGTTGACACTTTGGAAATCCTACTTTCTTCACATAACAGCCTGGCAGGTCATCAGTTGCTATATTGTTCTCTTTTGCTACATTGTAAATACCTGATGGAGGCGTCAGAAGGTACCTCTTGTTCTTGCTCCATTTTTAATACAGAATAAATATTAAGTGAGCATGTCCTGCAGGTGAAGGAGGAAGTGAAGAAAATAAATGTCTTCCTCAGCCAAGCAAAGCGTACATTTCTAACACTCCAACATTTATCGTCTTTCTTCTTGCTACTTTTAACTCGAAGGCTGCCAAATCTTTAGCACAAATTATTACCTCGATCTACGTTTGTGTATAAACTTCTTATAAACACATATCTGCGTTTGTGTATAAACTTCTTGTAAACGCATGTGTGTGTCACATCGATTGCTCTCTGAAGGCAAACACAGTCAGTGTAATGTACTCTTATTGCCAACCCGGTTGATAAACAATAGGGCACTACAGAGCATGGGGGAGGTCTGTCTCAGAATCTCACAGATCCACAAGTAAGACTGCAAATTAGGGGTGTTTGGTGTTTGGGACTGTGGAGAGTGCAGCAATTTTGTCAAATGGCAGTTGCAAAGGTCCATCCTGGAGGAAGGTCAGCTGTTCAGGTGACATGAAGTATATAGACTCAGGGCTAGAAATGACTGTATGAGAACCTCTAATTGCCCAAGCATCTGAGAATTTTTTACTCAAGTAGAGATTCTTCTGATCTTGAGGTTATATTGTTTTCTAGAGTAAAATTCTCAAAACCAAGTAAACTACTCTAGCTCTCTCAGGCAGATTTTCTCAGTTGACCTGAAGAGCTAAGATGGTTGGCTCTAAGTTTATGTGGTATGAGCAAATCTCTCATGGTTAATGTCCTGAGAGCCCATTTAGTTTTGCTACTATCTTATCCTGTGTCTCTGATTCCTAAATGTTAAACCACATTTGCATCTACAAGTGAGGCAGATCTATTATTCTCCAATGGGTTAATGATTTCTGTCTATTATTTATGTGGTCTTTATAACCATCCAGTGCATGCATAGGTATGGTACCCAGTTGAGGTCAGGGTTCATATGCTGACTGCAAGACCTTTATGAAGATGATGCTGATGGTCATAACCTGAGAGTGATGACGGGAAGCTGGATCAGCAGCACGTGGGTGTCCTGTGTAGTTGTAATGGTGGTGGTGGTATAAGGGGTGATGGCAGGGGTGATGGAGTTGGTGGCAGTGGTCTGGGCCAGCACTTGGCACAGAGCAGACATGCAGTGATGAGCTACTTTTACTTCGAAAAGTAGCAAGAAGAAAGTTGCTTGGCTAAGTGTGCATTGCTGGTCAGTGACAGAACACATGCCAAAGCCAAATCCCTGATTCAGAGAATCAGTGAATGGGTGATAGTGGACATGGGCAGCCATTGGCGGTGGTCATCATGGTTGTCATGGACAGGAAGGGAACCAAAGAAGGATGTTGTGGCTGCTGACCTTTCTCAAACCATGGCAAGGCTAGTCGTGGGCAAACTGATGGTTCAGTCTTCCTGGGTCATCCAGCTCTTGTCTTTGGTGGAAACGAAGCTGATTGAGAAGTCTTACAAGGCAATTTCTAGAAAGATGACATTCACTTCTGTTACTATCCATGTGTGCACAAGATTATGTGAGATGGGCTGTCTCTCCTCAGAGAAAGCTATATGGAACTTGCAAAAACTTGTAGTGGCCCACAAGAGGCAATATCCCTGAGACTGGATTCTGAGCCCAACAATCAGGGTTGCAGGGTTGAGAAAAGTCACTTGAGAAATAGAGCAGATCTGCCTCACTTCCCTGTGCCCAACTTCCCGCCTCAGAGGAACCCCTGGGGAGAGCTAGTCACACCCAGCAACCCCGGGGAGCACATAGCAAGGAGCCCATGGAGACCAGCGTGGCCAGGAACATGAGATATAAGTAGGGGAGAGTCTTGGGGTATAAAGGATGCTGAGGAGGATGCCATGAGTGTTAATGTCATCCAAACAGTCAAGGAATGGGCAGGGATGGGACAGCAGAGGTGAGCATAGGGAAGCAGAAGATGAAGGGAGGGCACTGACTTTGCCTAGGGGAGACCATTAGGGTGTAGGGTGTGGGAGGAGAACTCTGGGACCTTAGTGTAGATCACTTATCTCCACCCTCACCCCAAAAACATTTTTCAGTGACTTTAGGGAACCATACATTTTCCATGTTGTAAGTCTTAGAATACATCTGTGCAAATCTTTTTTTTTTTTTTCTTCAATTTTAGAGAAGAAGTGGCGGGTATGTGAGGAGAAGTTGCTTGGCTAAGTGTGCATTGCTGGTCAGTGACAGAACACATGCCAAAGCCAAATCCCTGATTCAGAGAAGTCTTTTCTTTTTATACTGTAGGACTTCTTGCTTGGGACTTCTGACCTCATGGTTTTTCTCCACGAGAATTCCCGGTGCATTTCTCCTGTGGAGATCATCTTTCAAAAGACGCAGCATGTCTGCTGAGGGAGCCACCATTGGGCACCATGGACCTGAGATGTCAGGGACTGTTCTCAGGGCCCCTGCATCTCTGTCATTCCCCACCTCTCCCTCCAGAGTTTGTGGGTACAGTCCACAAGCCAGCAGGGCTTTCGGAAAGAGTCCCTGACAGTCATGTTTGGGGGATGACTCTTTTCTTTTCCACACCCCAGTTTTGCGGGTCTTTTCATCATTGGAAAGTACAGGAAGGCTAGAGGCAGGAGTTTTCCCGTGTCTCCTATTTCCTGATGGTGGAATAGGGACAAAATCCAGGTACCTGACTCTCTAGAACCCAATATTATAAATTAGACAAGGACTGAGCTGGGATCAGGAGCCTTGGCTTCTAGTTGCAGCCTTGGCAACAACAGATTCTAAGATGTGGGTCTGACCAGGTCTGCCCTTGGAAGTGCAACTCTTCTATTGCAAAGGGAGTGGCATTGGGTAGAGAAGTTCAAGACCCTACCAGGTGCTCACACTTAGCGTTCTTGGCACGAGGAACATTTTCCAAAGAGAGGAAGATCCCAAAGTAGTTCCTAGGAGTCATGGACCAGCTGAATCACACGTGGACCCAGAGTTTCCTTCTTGCTGGTTTCCCTGCCCCCAGCACACTGCGGCCTCTGGCGTTCTTGGGCACCCTGTGCATCTATCTCCTCACGCTGGCAGGGAACTTGTTCATCATTGTGCTAGTGCAGGCAGATGCGGGACTGTCCACGCCCATGTACTTCTTCATCAGTGTCCTCTCCTTCCTGGAACTCTGGTATGTCAGCACCACAGTGCCCACACTGCTGCACACGTGGCTCCGTGGGTGCTCACCCATCCCGGCAGCGGTGTGCTTCACCCAGCTGTATGTCTTCCACTCCCTGGGCATGACCGAGTGCTACCTGCTGGGGGTCATGGCGCTGGACCGCTACCTGGCCATCTGCCGCCCACTCCACTACCACGCACTCATGAGCAGAAAGGTGCAGTTATGGCTGGCAGGGGCCACGTGGGTGGCCGGCTTCTCTGCGGCACTGGCGCCGGCCAGCCTCACAGCCAGTCTGCCCTTCTGCTTCAGAGAGGTGGCCCACTACTTTTGTGACCTGGCCTCACTGATGCGGCTGGCATGTGTGGACCCAGGCTGGAACGCTCGAGTCCACGGGACCGTGATTGGTGTGGCCACTGGCTGCAACTTTGTGTTCATTTTAGGACTCTACGGGGGTATCCTAAGGGCTGTGCTGAAGCTGCCCTCGGCTGGCAGCCGGGCCAAGGCTTTCTCCACCTGCTCCTCCCACGTGACCGTGGTGGCCTTATTCTTTGGCTCTGCCTTCATGGTGTATGTGGGGCCACCCAAGAGCCGCTCCAAGGGCACGGACATGCATATCGCCCTGGTATATGCCATTCTCACCCCGTTCCTCAACCCCATCGTCTATACCCTTCGCAACAAGGAGGTGAAGGACGCTTTCAGAAGGTTCACCCAGAGGATTAGGGCTATGTTGAAGGGACTCTGAGGATCTACAGAGTCATTTGGTGACTGTAGGATTTAATTGGTTAGTCGATCAAACAATCAATCAAATAATTTTTTCAAACACACTCCATATTCCAATTCAAGTGGACTGAGTCTTGGATTGAGGCAAACTGAGAACATTGTAGAGATCAGAGAGACATGGCTTCTGAACCCATACCTACCTAACATGGGTGAAAGGACATATCTGAGAAAAAAATAACCAAAAATAAGGATACAGGTGCAGATATTTAGGCAAACTTAGAAATTAGAGAGATGGAACTGTGTTTGAAAGAATTTGGAAGAACAAAAGCTGACTGTGGGATTATGTTCAGGACAGGATTCCTGGAGAAGCTCCAAGAAAGGAGGAAAACAAGATTACCAAATGAAAAATGAAAGAACTTCTAAGGTGAATGTTCAGATGTGGATTGGGAAACCATGGGAAGATGGCTGGTAGAAGCACACGGCTCCATGTTCCTGGAATCCTGCGGTACAAGAAAGGTTGAAGCTGTAGCTGGGAATTTATTCTCTTACGGGGAAGATCGGGGGCTAGAGATAAGGGTGCTGGGGGTGCTGATGGTTAGAAGTGAGTCACAGAAATATGCCCTGCACTGTGAGTTTGAGATCGTCACTTAGTCATCCGGGCAACATCATGGATGGACTCCTATGAGCGCAGTGCTAGCTCTGGGAACCAAGAGGAGATAATAAAAAGAAGGCACGATTTCTGTTTTCAGAGAGTTTGCAGTTTTGTTTTGAAGATTCGGTCCTCCATCCCTCTCCCTCTCTCCCACCTTCCCACACTGTCTTCCCGCCGCACCACCTCCATCACCACCACCATCACCACCATGACCATCACCACCTCCATCACCACCAGTGACATATTGACTGATACCAAGATATAAACATTTCAGTTTTGCTCTATGTGCCCCGAAGGTGGGGGGAGGTCATGAAATTGAAGGGAAGCAGTGCCTGGATTGGCGGAAAGGGACTGAGGGAAAGTAAAGTAGCCGCACAAGACATTGATTCTGATATTTCCCCAACCCTTCCAGACCTTGGAATCCTAATCCCCTGGGGACCTAGATGGGACTTCTCGGAAAGTTCCCTTCAGACCAGACATGGAACTGTAGGATCCTCATAGGCGATGCCTTGTCTCAGGATAACATGGCAGCAACTCTACTGAAAATACAAAAAGAAAACTTATTTTTAAAATAATTCTGGGCAGCCTTTTAAAAAATGATAGAGTGAATGGGTTTTGGGTTTCTGGTTTTTTCCTAATGATGTTGAGATACTTTATTTCTAGGGCAAGGATGACTTGGTGTTTATTTTAACTTATTTTACTGGAAGGAAAATGTATGTGGGGTGACATATAGTAGCACTGACCTCCCTCCCACTAGAGCTATAGAATGTTTGGGAATCCCCACTTATTAAATGAAGATAGACTGTCCCACTTGAGGTTTTTCCAAGGACAATGTAGCCTTGTCCTCAGGTCAATTTTCCCTGACCATCCAGCCCGGATCTGAACTACATTCTCTGCTCTGAGCTTTGGGGGGATCCTAAGTAAGAAGAAACTTGTTTTAATATTATTAAACCATGAAGGCTAATCTTATGGGGAGTAACAACAACAGTAGAAATCGAACCCGTCCCTAGTCAAAGCGATTGTTGCTTTCTTGCAGGAGTGGATGTGGGACCAGAAGGGCCTGTCCTCGTGAGACCAGGGAACAAGGTTCAATCCCAGGTTAAGCCAACATAGAACGTTTGAAGACTTACTTGGAGCAGACACCATCTGCACATAGGTGAACTTCTGGGTTAGGCAGGGCCTAAGCAGCCATCTCCTCAAAATCCCTCTTGTTTTTACAGAAGATAAAACTGAAGTCGGTAGGTGGGAAATAACCTGAACAAGTTACATGGGAATTTAGAAATAGGCTGGGAGTGGACAACACCAAGGGTTTCTAACCCTTCCCACCATATCACCAGGGTGCATGCCCTCTAAGTTGCCGTGTTGACCTGAAACAGAAGGTCTGTGGCCTTGACCGAGCGCCACACAGTGGGAAAAGCAGTCGGTGGCCTGCAAATTCAGAGGGTCATGGCAGTCCGCAGGGGACCTGTCTCTCCCACAGAATAAATGTCCCACTTACAGAGAATGTGGCGGGGCACATACGATGCTTTCTCTGGCCGACTTTCGGCCCCAGGCATCCTGGCGTTTCTACTTTGCCATCCAGAGGTGGGAGTGGGTTCCCTCCTCCTTGGAACCATCCCGTGCTCCTGTCTAACCCCACAATCTCTTATGCAGACATGCCATTTATACTGGAGTATTTTGTGTCTGTTTTCTCATTACATTTCCCACAGCAGGAAAATGGATGCATTTCTTTCCAAGATCAGTTAGTGGATGAAGAGTCTGAACTCATTTCAAAAATGTCAAATCTCCCGATCAAGAGGAAAGAACAGCATTTAACAAAACAGAGTCTGATGGTGCCCACTGAGTCTTCACTTTCTCTGCCATTCCTGCCACCTGTTGGCTTTTCAGAGCCTGTGTGAACCCAGAAGTAACATTTCACTTAAATGTAGGCCAGATGCAGAAAATCCTTTTAAACAGGATTTGTATGAGCCTACAGAGTCATTAGTGGAAAGGTATTTTGTTCTCTACCGTCATAAAGTTCTAAAAATAAGAAATTATAGGTAATTTCTCTAGTTCTTTGCCTCCCTTAGTGAACAAGTGACAGCCTTTTTGAGCTTTCCCAAAAAGTGGCGGGGGAGGGGGCATTGGTTAACCGAGGGTTAAATGAGACTTAACAAGTCACCTGGAATCTCCTCGGGGAAACCATAACCATAAATAATGAATTTTATTTTAGTGAGAATGTGCATCCAAGACCTACCTAAATGTGAAAGCTTGATGGTGGGACCTGGCAATTTGTGTTTCCACAAGCCTCAAGATGATCTGGAGCAAGGTCAAGTCTGAGAACCACTGACCTGATCTGATTGGTGAAATTGGACGAGGACACAGGCATGTGTGGCCAGCCCTCTGCTCTGCTCCCCTGCTTGGGAGCCCCCTGTCCCTTTGCGCGTTCTGCTCGATGCCATGGATTAGAAGGGGACTGTCCCTATGGAGGATGTCCCATAATCAGGTGGGGGAACCATAAGCAAAATGATTACTTCCACTGCCAAAGTAAGATATCCGACCCCACCAAGTAAATAATACACCAGATAGATAGATAAATCCTAAGTAAGGATATAAATCATTTAAAGATACTAATTGTCAGAACCCACCCACTGAAGGTACAGATTGACTTGAATAAATACAATAAAATACAGATTGACTTGAAGCATGCATGGAGTTAAACGCATGTTAGGCTATAAAATAAGGTGCGCTAAAGTCGTGAGCCCTTTGTCCTGAAGATCTAATGCATAGCTTGGTGGCCATAGTTAACGATACTGTATTGTCTATTTAACATCTGCTAAGTGGGTAGATCTCCAGTGTTCTCACCACAAAAAAAAAAAAAAAAGGAAGAAAGAAAGAAAATGAAGTTATGTGAGGTGGTGGATATTTTATTAGCTTGATCGTGACAATCATTTCACAGTGAACACTACTCCCCTCCTTAGTCTCAGTTTGTTACCCACAGTCCACCACGGTCCGGAAGCAGAGGGTCGTCCTTCTGCCGTACCTTCACAAGGTCAGTGGTAGCCTCACACTCCGTCACTCACCTCCTTGACCCCACCACGTGGGTGTTTTATCACATCATCACGAGGAGAAGGAGGGTGAGTGGAGTACAACCAGGTATTTTGAGAGAGGGTGAGAGACCACACTCGCCTAACTTTTATCACAGTATCTTCTCATAATTGTTGTATTTTATTGTTAGCTACTATTGTTGATCTCTTACTCTAATTTAATTTTTTAAGATTTTATTTAAATTCAAGTGAGTTAACATACAGTGTATTATTAGTTTCAGGGGTACAATTTAGTGATTCGTCACTTGCATATAACACCCAGTGCTCATCACAAGTGCCCTTCTTAATGTCCATCACCGAGCTATCCCATCCTCCCCACCCCCCACCCCTCCAGCAGCCCTGTTTGTTTCCTATAGTTAAGAGTCTCTTACTGTAATTTATCAATCAAACTTGTTTACAGGTATGTATGTACAGGAAAAAACATAATGTGTATGTATATCCACAGTTTCTGGCATCCACTGGGGGTCTTGGAACACATTGCCCACAGAAAAGAAGGGACTAGTACATAGGGAAATCAAAACATCAAATTGTACACCTTAAATACAAACAATTTCTATTTGTCAATCGTAAAAGTCAAATAATATAAGCCTCAATGCAGTTAAGAGAATTAATATTATATAGACTGGCTTTTAACTCATGACAAATTAAATTTATAATAAATAACTAAATGATAAATTTTAAATGTCCATATTTTGATATTTAAAAGAGCACTTCTAAACAACTTATGAATCTAAGAAGAAATTATAAAGGTAAGTATAAAACATTCAGACCCGAACAATAATAAAAAAAAAAAATCATAGTTTCAAAACTTCTGGGTAAAGCCAAAGTGCTTCTTAGAGAGAAATTTGTAACCTTAAATGTTTACATTGTAAGAGAAGGAATGTGCAAAATTAGTCTAAAGTAGGAGCTAAGAAAATAATATCAGAGAAGAAAACGAAGAAAGTTGAAGGAAGAAAAAGATGCATAGGGGAGCAGAAATTAATATAATGAAAAATACAACAAAGAAGATATATAAATTAAAGAGTTCATTCTAGGAAAAAAAAATAAAACTCCTGACAAGACTAACGAACAAGAGGAAGAGAAGGGTAAAAATAAGAAATATGAAGAATGAAAAATAAACTATCGGTTTAAGCCACAAAGTTTAAAATAGTAAGATGATAACTATAAACAACATACACCAATTAACTAAAATTTAGATAGCTAGATTTGTTTTTAGGAAATTTAAAATTATCAATGTCAAGTTCAAAAGCAGTGGAAAATCTTAATAGCGAATTAGTTAAAAAT